CGCTTTTTCAAGTACTTCTACTGAACTTGGAGGTGGTCCTGCGATCGCCGTTCATTAGTAATTCTGTTGCTAGCAGTTGTAGGTCTCATATACACATTTTATTTCAGACTATTAACAATCAGGTCGCCTTAGTGGTACTTCTGATTAGCTTCACTGCTGTATTACTACAGATGCTCATTAATCGCTTCTTAGCTTCATTCAATGCTAATACCACCTAACAGAGAAGAAAAAAAAAACGGAAACAGTGTAATAACTGAACTCAAGACTGAAACAGACCTTGAGTTTTGGTGGGCGCTACAACTAGGGAGGCGTCAGAGCTGTCACTACTGAGGGCTGCAAAGCTTTTGTTACTTGCTCTGCAGCCGCGAAAGCGGGACAGTCTCGTAGAATTGAGGACCGGACTACATGGACAAGGAAGCGCGCCCCCTCGTTGAGCGCGGGAACTGCCTTTAGGGTCTGTACCACAGCAAGAGCTAACCAATGAAACCTACATGAATTAGTCCCATACATCCTCCCAACGAACATCTTATAACACATGAGGATCATGGATAATTCGATCCCCCCACACAACTAACGCCATGACCGCGTACAAATATTGGACTAGCACCATCGAGGCAAAGCGAATCAGATAATTTCCCTTTGGCACTAACTTGATTGCTTCCTGATGGTTTCGACAATTTTCGTCATCCATTTCTTTCGTTTCTCTTTATCGAATTTATAGATTGCTTCCACACAAATATCCAGCACTTCCCTAGCAAAAAGAACTTCAAGCACTGAAAGGGAATAAATCAATCACAGTAAACCACTTACTTCTTCGCCTCAAGGGCGTTGATTCTGAATGACGATGAGATTTCTCGACGAACTCTAGCCTTCTCTACGTCTTCCATCCTTCGAATCAATTCAGTTCAAAATCCTACTATAATCACTACGCCGCTCACTTCAAGCAGGAAAAATCGCACGTATTTGATACATTTAAAAATCCAACAAATCAACACAAAGAGGTCGATGACAGCTTTATTCAAAGACATACAACCACAACATGTTCAGCACAATTTAATTCAAAACATATGATAGAGATGAGCAGCAAATCATAACAAATAAATATAAAAGACTGCTTCAGTAATGAATGAGATAGCGTCCATAAGATGGAAAATATGTTCCATGAAGTCAAGATACTGAAAATTCAACTAATGCGGGGGACCGGGGCGAAAAGGAGCTGGCGGTCCACGCATCGCGGGAGGCATGGTCATTGGAACGCCAAAAGGTGGCATCTGAAATCTCACCAATCAAGTTGAGATTGACTCTTTTTCCGAAGTGAAGAAATAGCATGAAACTTACCGCTCCAGGAAAACCAAATGGCGGCATTGGTCCACGCATTCCCGCCACTGGAGCACCAACCATTGGCGGTCGACCCATCATTGCTGGCATCATAGGTGCACCCATCGGCGCACCCATTCCCGGCTTAGCGAGAGGTTTCGATGTATTACCACCCGTAAAAGCCCGTGCCGTGGCATCCACAAGCTTTTGAGCTTGCTCCTCCATCCATCGCTAAATAACAATTTGACTATCTGGATAGATCCCTTTCAGGGGAAGTAAAAAGCAAAAAAAAAATCCTGGAGAACACCCTAGGTGAACTGGCAGCCTATTCCCTGTACGAGTTATTCGGATATGCTCGTTTTATACCAGCAAGTGTTTGTTTACGTCATCCATTGTTGATACGAACAGTAAAAAAACCAAAACACGGGGTAGGTAAAAACCGAACTCGTGAGGGAAAACAGACCTATGGGACAAGTAGAGAGGCGTCAGAACTGTCCCTCAAGAGGGCCGTAGCGCCTTGACTGACTGTGAAGCTGCGAAAGTGTGACAATATTATGGACTGAGGACACGACTGAGTTCTATTGATCACTCCCAAACAGATTCCCAAAGCCAAACCTAAGCAGTTCCTACATCCAATATTAGCAAGGAAGGCAAAAACTAAATCCTTTTTATGTCACATTGTCCAGCAATTGTTCCACTAGATACAAAGCGTTCGCTATACATTGCAAGTTGTGGGTAGGGCGTTCGGACGTATAGTGTAGTTCGCTGCGGACGGTTGGGCGTGTCAGGCGGGATGAGTTTGGCGCGGTGCCAAACCCGTTCTCCACCAGTTGTTAAAGCGAGCAAATGATATGACTGTATCATATCGTTCGTATTACTCGTTTTCTACCACTTTTTGTCGCATGCGCGCTTCAACAAGAAGGCAACGGCTTTGACGGGGTGACACACTCATACTGCCTGACACGCCCAACCGTCCGCAGCGAACTAGAGTGTAGGAAAACGCCCATTATGTGCCCTCTCCCTTGACTGAGATGTGCTAGTACACGACAATGACAGTGTGCGTTGGGGTAAGCCTGCTTGGTAGTACCACAATGTTGTTAGTTATTTTCACACTCTAGTTCGCTGCGGACGGTTGGGCGTGTCAGGCAGTATGAGTGTGCACACCGTCAAAGCCGTTCTCTGCCTTCTTGTTGAAGCGCGCATGCGACAAAAAGTGGTAGAAAACGAGTAATACGAACGATATGATACAGTCATATCATTTGCTCGCTTTAACAACTGGTGGAGAACGGGTTTGGCACCGCACCAAACTCATCCCGCCTGACACGCCCAATCTCGGCAGCGAACTACACTATAGGCTGGTATGAATTTCATGGGTCTCCGTGTTAAGCTTGCTTCCCACTTGCGGCGAAACAGGCGCTGCAAACGGGATCTATGGACCACATGAACTTAAAATGAACTCAACCCTTCTGATGGTGCCAACTTTCTATTTTACTCTACCCTCTCTTGCCTGCATGGCATCTGCGACCTTTATCACCTCACAAATTCCAGTTTTTCACGTATATGTTGCCCACTCACTACAGGGCCGCTACTCTTGAAAAAATAATCGCACATTCTGCTTATCACGTGTTTTGTTCACACTTTTCAATGCTTTGGCAGCCGCTGTACTCTAACTGTCTGCATACACGAACAATAGGAATGCGCACAAAAAGTAGTCTCGTCCCTGATCGGGGTGATTCATGCAGCATCTGCACCAGGATTCAAAGCACTCAACATGGCAGCGCCGCTGCTCTTCGACCTTACTTCCCACACCCACTCGTACTGCGGCACTCCCACCATGGACCTCAGGTGTAAGGGAGCGTTCAGACTTCCACATCACGTGCTGTAACGCGCCTAGACGCATCACAACTGCAACAGCGCACCAAAGCTATAGAACAGATGCAGACAGCCGACGTCGATCGATTCCTGTCTGCGAACGTCCGATCGATGATCGCGTCCGCATGTGCTTCGAGAGAGTATGGAGGAATAATGGTATGCTTAGGCATTGTTCACAGTGCGATCCAGACGAAACGGCGGTTCGGCGAAAAGCAATAAATACGTGTTGAATGGAGAGTCGCCCACCGCGCCAACCGATTGGAAGAAACGCCGCCGCTGTTCGGCGGTTCGGAGAAAGCAGTATATGCGTATAGATTTCGCTGGCCTCCGCTCGAGAAAAACGCCAGGGCGGTCGAGCTTGCGTTTTTCTAGCAAGCGCTCCGTCGAACTGCCCGTCGATTTGTATCAAAACCGTTTCGCGCAACCACCAGAGCCTTCGCCGAACTGTCAATCGATACGTATCTAAAGCTTTTCGCCGAGGCATATCTTTCGAGAGAATCCCAGGGTCGCAGACTGTGAACAATGCCTTCCTATTAGTCACGCATACTGGTTCGATCGGGACTGCCCCTCTGTGGCTGCGTACAGATAGCTTAGGAGCGCCGGTGCAATTGTAGCACGTCGGTGCGCATTTCGCATCGTGAATCGTCATAGAACGCGCCTCAGGGGCCAGACTTCTCTACGGGCATGTTTGAGCTGCTAAAAAAGTATGTTGCTATTTGCGAACCTAAACTACTTACGAAGGAGATTGGACGTCTCCGATGATCGCGAAATGGGACCCTAGCGAAGCTGGAGGCTGGCAGCCAGCTTTCCTAGGGACCCATTTCCAGCCTGCCATCAAAGCTATAAAACCAAACTTAGAAAAACAAACGTGCCTGATAGAACATACGAACGTTCTCCTTATGCTTGCGTCCACCATTGTGAGTCTTACGAACAGATGGAGAATCGTGCGTAAGGAAAGTATCGCAGTAATCGCAGTAGTACTTCGGCATATCTTCAATTTGGGAAAACTTGCTATATCTGAAACAAAAAACCTAACAGATATGGATACTGACCGTAAACAGCAGTGTTACTGCAAAATGGTAGTAAGACATCTTCATTAATACATACATTTTCACAAAAGCGAAGGAAAATAAGACGTAATGGGACAAATATACAAACAACCCATAAGAAATACAAAAATAAATTGCGTAAAATAATCAACAATAGTAGCTAATATAAAATCTAAATCAATTTGCTGCACACGACTGATTCATCACAGCTTCATCTATAACGGCTATTTTTAAAAGGTGTAAGAAGTGTTAGTTCTACTTCACATCAAATGCGAAAAAATAGTGCACATGAGACAGAACAAAAATGAAAAGTGGCATAACTCCTTGATTCCTAATCAAATCTAAGCACCAATAACGTTTACGGGGAGGGCATCTAGGACCATTTGCGATCAAGTGAAAATAAGCGCTGCTTAATGGAAATAACGCCTTTTTGAGTTGCTCCAGCAATTCCGGAGGTCATCTCTTTGAAGGCTACGGTGAGGCAAAGCATCTCCACTGCGAAAGTACCTAGTTTACACCTCAAACTGCTCTACACCTCTCTTCAAGGTTATTGGTGCCCATGACATTTACAAAGCCATAAGGTGGATGAAATGCAGCGGGCACAATCGCTGGAGGCGGGCGAATGTTGCCAGTGTCACGTGTAGAAAGGCTGCGAGTAGGTTTCTAGCCACACCCCACTCACCCTTCCACCAAAGACCTTGGTGACATCAGCCGCCCCCAACAATCGTGCCCACTACCTTTAAGTACATTGAAACAGCATAATTTTCCCGTATTTCCATAATACATTAGTTTCCTAGCTACAGCTTACAACTGGCCATGGTAAGTGCCATATCAAGCTCGTTCTCACATTGGATCAAGAACCTTACAGAATTTCATTTAAATAGAGCTAGTTAGCTGTACGTGATGTAAGGCACTGTTCACAGTCTGCGACCCTGACGAAACGGCGGTTGGGAGAAAAGCAAAAAAAATAGTCATCGATCGGAGAATCGCCAACCGCTAGTTTCGCCGAACCGCCGCGGTTCGGCGGTTGGGCGAAAAGCAATAGATGTGTATCGATTTCGCTGGCGAAAAACGCCACGGCGATCGAGCTAGCGTTTCGTCGAAGGCGAAAAACGTCGCGGTTTGGCGAAACGCCCGTCGATTCGTATCAAAACCCTTTCGCCCAACCGCCAGTCGATACGTATCGAAAGCTTTTCGCCGAACCGCGCGTTCCAGAGAAACGCTGGACCGCAGACTGTGAACAATGCCTAAAACGATCTCCAAGAGAAGACTAATTGGCACAAAGGAGGAGGAAGAAATGCAGAAAAAAAACATTGTGGGGGCAGCTTGGCGACGGGAAGGGCACGTTGCACGTTTGCTGGGGTTACAAGAGCAGGTTTCACCACAACGGCTTGTAGAGCTTGCTCCAGCTTCACAAGCGTTCACAGGTTTCACATGGTGGGACTTGTAAACCGGAACTAGTGAAGCAGCGAAAGGGCGAAATGCCAGCCTCCGCGAGACGGGCAAGACAATCGTAATTTGCCGCTCCCCGCGCGCGGCATGGGCGCGGGGTTTTCTTAACTCATGTTAACCTATCGATTGGAGCATCGGACTGACTACATGTAGACCCCGCCATCGTAGACATTCATAACTATCTTCATTCTTGAATTGCCCTTGTCGCCATCTACTGCCTGGAACCATCGTCATTTGCGCGCGACGTCGAATGGGACGCCCGCCAGCGCGGTGAATTACAATTCCTTTGCCACATACCCGCACCCTCCTTCATCGCAGAACTGCGCCACATTCTGAAGAAATATTCTGCCGTAAATAGCATTCTGTTAACACAAGCACGCTAATGTACTTATCCTTCCAACAACTCGCGCAACCATTTCGGGACAGGTAAGTGATTCTTTACGAGAAATTTGTGGAGGGCAGTATTGTCTGGGAGAAATATATTGTTAAGACGAGACCACAACTCCGGCGACATTGGCGGATAAGCTCGTCCTTTTCCACGCCCGAGACACTTAGTTTTCTCATTGTATACCTGAAAGCACATTCGAACAGATTACTCGAATAGCGAATATTTTGTTATCACCAACCTGGCAGAAGAATCCCTTCGAAGAGCTAAACCTAATGCGGCTGTTGAAGTCGTACTCCGGAAGTCCAAGCTTGTCCGCCAACTCCATTAACACCTGTAAGAAATGTGGTTTTGGCATGGATGACGTTCCTTTCTTGAGGAGCAGTCCAGACTTGTTCATGACAGCGTTGAGTTGCAGCGCGAATCAAAAAATTCGTTCAGCTTGTGAGGGGCGTTTTGCACTTTCGCAAGCTTCTTCTGTTATTAGGTTGTCCGGAAAGTTCTCAGCGTTTTGAGTGTTTCACTAAACGATCATAACTTTCTTAATACTCATCGGATTCAATCGAAATAGGCACCGTTCGAATCAGCACACTTTTGCCAATGTGAATCCATCAAAGAAAAAAACTGGGTGGTCGAGAATCCACGAAGTCCATGTAGGCCTTTTTTGCCTGGTCCTGATTGATGAAGTATTTTCCAGCAAGGAAGTTCTGAAAATGTTTGAAAAGGTGATAGTCGGTTGGTGAAAGGTCTGGAGAATATGGCGGGTGAGGTAGAACTTCAACCCCCAATTCGTTCAATTTATGGATAGTGATTTGTGAAACGTGTGGGCGGGCGTTGTCATGCAAAAGAATCGGACCCTTTCTGTTGACAAGTGCTGGCTGCAGCTGACGCAATTTTCGGTACATTTCGTCGATTTCTTCACAGTAGGACTCTGCTGATGGTTTGGCCTGGTGACAAAAAGTTATAGTGGATCACACCAGCCGATGACCACCACACTGTGACCATAACCTTTTTTTGGTGAAGATTCGGCTTTGGAAATTGCCTCGGTGGTTCGTCGGCGTCCAACTACTGTCCGTAACGTCTCCTGTTATCATACATGATCCACTTTTCATCACAGGTGACAATTCGGTCCAAAAACGGGTCGTTTCTGTTGCAAAAGCAGTGAAGAGGAAACCTCGAGACGTGCCAATTTCTGCCGGTCACTCACTTGTGGGGCACCCACTTATCGAGTTTTTTCACCTTCCCAATGCGTTTCAGACCATCCGCAACAGTGGATTTGCCAACGCCTAGCTTTTCTGCAATCTCTCGAACTGTTTGGGATGGGTCAGCCTCCACAAACGCCTTCAAATCCTCGTCAGGTATTGCTTTAGGTCGACCGCTATGAGGTTCATCTTCAAGGCTGAAATCTCCAGAACGAAATTTGTCGAACCATTGCCGCACGGTGCTTTCTCTAGCACTATTGGGCCCCCACACCTGGTTAATTTGTTGAGCTGTCTCGATTGCGGATTGCCCCAATTTATAGTCGAAGAAAAAAATCGTCCGAAGTTGCTCTTTTGACATGCTTTAAAAGGTCTTGGGCCCTGTTAGATTACACGTCTTTCCTTGACAAAACATGTGTGCTCTTGTCAAGTGTAAACGAAGCTCCCACTACTGCATAGATTTACAGGTCTCCGAAGGAGGCGTCTGCAGTAATCAATAAGAACCAGCAATATGCCCTCTCTATGTCGAACTGCGCTCAAATTTTCTCGAGCTCCTTTGATGAAAACTGGGGCGAAATGTGCCGTTTCTCAAGAACGCTTCCGACTCCCACGTTGCTAAAGAGGTTTTGCAAAAGAGGTCAAACCACTAACTGTAACAAGGCTTCGATAGGCTGCGCTACTTTTGGCCTACCACTGACATTTCCCTTTTGCTTGGCAATAAAAATTGCATGGTCGCACGTAGAGCACATGCATGCGAGAAGCACTTAGGAAGATGCTTGCTTTTTCGCTTCCGGTTAGACAAATTCTACTGGGTATCTTCCTACCTAGCTTTACTATCTAAGAGAAGGCTGCAGCGACTACTGTTCAAAAAAGAAAAATAAGCTGTTTATGAAGAAGAACGCGAGCAACAGTAACCTTATAAATAAGGAAAAAAGGCTTCAAACGACTGCTCAGTTCCGCAGGGGGGGGGGGGGTGGAAACACTCTGCACTTTCGCTACTTCCCATAGTTGTATTAACTGCTTTAAAGTTGACACAAGTCCTTAAAGAGTTGACAAGTAGTTTCTACAAATTTTCAACTGGCATCACTTCCTAACTTACAAGATATCACAAGCCTTTCCGTGATCGCTCAACACGACAATGGGAAGTAGGATAGCGCAAGAGCTCCCCTTCCTAAAGTGCGGCCAAATGACTAACCTTAGCTGGCTCTTCACGTAACCTCTCGCCATCTATCAGGATCAGATTTGACAACGGATACAGTTCTAACCATCGGTCAAGATGATGCGTGTAACTGCAAAGTCGACAATTATAAGACCTTTCACATGCGCACAACATGTAGCACTCGAAATCTTCCGCCGTAGGTATACTGCTGGTGAAACTTACCGTCCTCCTGACAAGCATCGTTGCCTCAATTTTCTCAGCTGTGGGGTTGCAGCATCCAACACTTTTTCCATACTGTCAGCTACAGTAATCGACGAATCATTGTGTGCCAACATGTGCTTTAATAGAAAACTCTTTACCACTGACATTTGGAAAATTGAAAGTAAACTCACTTGATACCAGGAATAAGCCCTTTTTGCGGGATCATATAATATGACAACAATTTTTGCATTTGGCACAAGAGCGAATGCTTGTTTTGCAGCTAATGGATTGTCAAAATATGTTGCACTCTTATCGAACACGACATGATCAGGGCTGAATTTTCGTGAATACCTAAAACCACAAGAAGATCTTTTACTTCACTTTCATTGTCATCTAAAATTATCATTAAAATAAGGCTAAATGTTGTTCATACGACTTCTTACCACTCTATTCCTTTATGGTAATTTGCTCCACCAAAGAACTGAAGCTCCTCAAATGATCCCGGAATGGGTTCATTTGTTGAAACATTGGGATGCATTGACAGAAACGTCGCAAGAGCGGTGGTCCCTGTGTTGAAAAGCTGTCATTAGAGAAGAACTAAAAGTGATCAAGATACATGCAAAAGGGTTCAGTAAAAGCACAAAAAGGATCTAGCCCGAGTGAGCGACCCAAAAGAGAATTCAAAATGAGAGAGTGAACTATTCGAGTCCGAATTTTAGCGTGGACCTAAAGGTGAAGACAAGCCGGCTAATGCCGTTTGGACTCCAAAAATTTCGGCACCGAGCTCATTTTTAAATTGCCTAAGTTACCAAATCCGCTAAAAACTTGTATATAGGGGTAGTTTAACATCCTGATTACGAATATGACATTCACTCTTGCCGCTGGCGCTAAGATGACACTACGATTATCTGCGCTCTGCTAAGGCTGAGCCCAGGAGGTAATCGTAGTGTCATCCTTGGCGCCAGCGACAAGAGTGAATGTCATATTCGTAATCAGGATGTTAAAGACAGCCCCCGCGCTCAAGTAGTACATGGGTCCTTCCTTGGGCAGGTAGTTCAGCCCCCAAGCTAGATACTATCTCACTCTCGCGACTCCTCAGCGAGCGAGGAGCGAGCTAGAACCGCTCAAAGTTCTAGTTCTAACGCCTGCTCAGTTGGACCGCCTCACTAGCTAGCTGCCCTCTGACGGAGACATCACAGTTTGACCTATCGATTGGAGCATCGGACTGACTACATCTAGACCCCGCTATCGTAGACATTCATAACTATCTTCATTCTTGAATTGTCCTTGTCGCCATCTACTGCCTGGAACCATCGTCATTTGCGCGCGACGCCGAATGGGACGCCCGCCAGCGCGGTGAATTACAATTCCTTCGCCACATACCCGCACCCTCCTTCATCGCAGAACTGCGCCACATTCTGAAGAAATATTCTGCCGTAAATAGCATTCTGTTAACACAAGCACGCTAATGTACTTATCCTTCCAACAACTCGCGCAACCATTTCGGGACAGGTAAGTGATTCTTTACGAGAAATTTGTGGAGGGCAGTATTGTCTGGGAGAAATATATTGTTAAGACGAGACCACAACTCCGGCGACATTGGCGGATAAGCTCGTCCTTTTCCACGCCCGAGACACTTAGTTTTCTCATTGTATACCTGAAAGCACATTCGAACAGATTACTCGAATAGCGAATATTTTGTTATCACCAACCTGGCAGAAGAATCCCTTCGAAGAGCTAAACCTAATGCGGCTGTTGAAGTCGTACTCCGGAAGTCCAAGCTTGTCCGCCAACTCCATTAACACCCTGTAAGAAATGTGGTTTTGGCATGGATGACGTTCCTTTCTTGAGGAGCAGTCCAGACTTGTTCATGACAGCGTTGAGTTGCAGCGCGAATCAAAAAATTCGTTCAGCTTGTGAGGGGCGTTTTGCACTTTCGCAAGCTTCTTCTGTTATTAGAGGGTCGTCCGGAAAGTTCCCAGCGTTTTGAGTGTTTCACTAAACGATCATAACTTTCTTAATACTTGTCGGATCCAATCGAAATAGGCACCGTTCGAATCAGCAGACTTTTGCCAATGTGAATCCACCAAAGAAAAAAAAACCGGGTGCGGAGTGGTCAATGTACGTCCCTTTTTGCTGGTCCAGAGATAAAGCATTTCCAGCTAAGGAAGCTTCTGAAATGTCCTGACAGTGATCAAGACGACAGACAAGTTTGGCTGAAAGGTCTGGCAGAATATGGCGGTGACGCCGCTCACCCGCCACACTCAAACATCCCAATTCGTCCACTTTATGGATAGTGATTTGTGAAACGTGTGGGTGGGCGTTGCCATGCAGAAGAATCGGACGACCTTTCTGTTGACAAATGCTGGCTGCAGCTGACGCAATTTTCGGTACATTTCGTCGATTTCTTCACAGTAGGACTCTGCTGATGGACTGGCCATGGTGAAAAATTTGGCGGATCCACTCCAGCCGAATTGACATCACACACCCGTGTCCCCATTACCCCCCTTTATTTCGGATAAACGACAGAGATTTTATTTATGAGATACGTGGTTCTATCGGACGATAGTTGTGTAAAACGTTTCTGTATATATCACATGATCACATATCAATGATGATTACAGGTGAAAACGGTTTCGTTTCTGTTGCGCAAAAGCAGTGAAGAGGAAACCTCGAGACGTGCCAATTTCTGCCGGTCACTCACTTGTGGGGCACCCACTTATCGAGTTTTTTCACCTTCCCAATGTAATAACTTCAAAGATCATCCCGCAACCTTTGGGATTATGCCAACCCCGACCCTACAGCTCTTTCTGCAATCTCTCAAACTGTTTGGGATGGGTCAGCCTCCACAAACGCCTTCAAATCCTCGTCAGGTATTGCTTTAGGTCGACCGCTACGAGGTTCGTCTTCAGGCTGAGATCATACAATATATCCCGGACACACACACTCTGTCGACTCACTGAGAGCTTACGCCCCATCTATTGGGGCCCCCCACACCTGGTTGATTTACAGTTGAGTGTCTCGACGATTGCGGATTGACCCACAATTTATAGTTGAAGAAAAAATATACCGTCCGAAGTTGCTCTTTTGACATGCTTTAAAAGGTCTTGGGCCCTGTTAGATTACACGTCTTTCCTTGACAAAACATGTGTGCTCTTGTCAAGTGTAAACGAAGCCTCCCACTACTGCATAGCTCAGTCCTCGAAGGAGGCGTCTGCAGTAAACATATCAATATTCTCTAAAGCGCTCAAATTTTCTCGAGCTCCTTTGATGAAAACTGGGGCGAAATGCCGTTTCTCAAGAACGCTTCCGACTTCCACGTTGCTAAAGAGGTTTTGCAAAAGAGGTCAAACCACTAGCTGTAACAAGGCTTGGATAGGCTGCGCTACTTTTGGCCGCTTACCACTGACATTTCCCTTTTGTTTGCAATTAAAAAATTGCATGGTCGGCAACGTATGAGCACATGGCATGCGAGAAGCATCAGGAAAATGCTTGCTTTTTTGCGCTTTCGATAGACAAATTCTACTGGGATTTTATCTTCCTACCTAGCTTTACTATCTAAGAGAAGGCTGCAGCGACTACTGTTCAAAAAAGAAAAATAAGCTGTTTATGAAGAAGAACGCGAGCAACAGTAACCTTATAAATAAGGAAAAAAGGCTTCAAACGACTGCTCAGTTCCGCAGGGGGGGGGGCGGGGTGGAAACATTCTGCACTTTCGCTACTTCCCATAGTTGTATTAACTGCTTTAAAGTTGACACAAGTCCTTAAAGAGTTGACAAGTAGTTTCTACAAATTTTCAACTGGCATCACTTCCTAACTTACAAGATCACAAGCCTTTCCGTGATCGCTCAACACGACAATGGGAAGTAGGATAGCGCAAGAGCTCCCCTTCCTAAAGTGCGGCCAAATGACTAACCTTAGCTGGCTCTTCACGTAACCTCTCGCCATCTATCAGGATCAGATTTGACAACGGATACAGTTCTAACCATCGGTCAAGATGATGCGTGTAACTGCAAAGTCGACAATTATAAGACCTTTCACATGCGCACAACATGTAGCACTCGAATCTTCCGCCGTAGGTATACTGCTGGTGAAACTTACCGTCCTCCTGACAAGCATCGTTGCCTCAATTTTCTCAGCTGTGGGGTTGCAGCATCCAACACTTTTTCCATACTGTCAGCTACAGTAATCGACGAATCATTGTGTGCCAACATGTGCTTTAAGAGAAAATTCTTTACCACTGACATTTGGAAAATTGAAAGTAAACTCACTTGATACCAGGAATAAGCCCTTTTTGCGGGATCATATAATATGACAACAATTTGCTTTTTTCCTTCATTGAGCGAATTACTTATCAGCTACTGTTTCATAATTGATCAGCAATTATCCTTGACACTTTTATCGCGGGAGCTGTCTTTAAACTACCCTATATACAAGTTTTTAGCGGATTTGGTGACTTAGGCAATTTAAAAATGAGCTCGGTGCCGAAATTGCTGGAGTCCAAACGGCATTAGCCAGGCAAGCCAACTTAAAGGAAGTGGGCACTTGCCAGCGTCATCGTTGAGGGGCTGCGAGAGGGCATTTGCCCACATCCAACTTACTCTTCCACAAATGAAGCTGGCGACAACCGTTCGCCACCGCCATCGTGCGCACTACCTTTACCACTGCCAAAATTATGGAACCTCTGACGATGAAAATTCTGCCGCAACACACGTTTAGTTTGGTCAAAAATCACGGAAACGTCGCGTGGCGCCATGGCTTCGCAAGATTCCACAAATCTCCTTTGATGGCGCAACACGACGGAAGGAAGTAGCAAAGGTTTAAAATGCCCCTCCCTCCAAAGCCGAACTGCGCAATAAACTTTATAGTAATTTGTTGGGTTGGCCCATAAGTAACGGCGTTTTTTTCTTACACAATTTTTTATATGGAAAGCGGGAATCGTTGACAATGTTTCTATGCTACTCTATAGATAGGGTAACTGCCTTCCTACCCTTTTTTT